TCATCACTTTTGGTATAGTTTATTCTGGTAACAACAATTTTCCGTGATAGAAGTAGGAATTATAGAAAAAGAAAAGAGGATAACAGCAAGGAGGGATTGGACTCTAGAATTGATCGATCAGTATGGAGAGGGATGTAAGGACATGAAGTGGAAAGAAGAAGAGGTGGAAGGAAGATGGAAGGAATTGAAAAAAAGAATAGAGTGCGGTACCTAAGGTAGAAAAACAGTTAAATGTGTGGAAATTGGGAGATAGAAAATGGTACGATAAAGAATGGAGAGAGAAAAAGAGAGATTTAAGAAGAATAATGAAGATGTGGAGAAAGAAGAAAATAGAAAAGAGTTATTATATCGATAAAAAAAGAGAGTACAGAAACTGGTGCGAAGCAAAACAGAAAAGGTTTGAAAAATTAGAAGAAGAAAAGATAAAAAACACAGCATCGGAAGGTGAAATTTGGAAGTACATAAATAGGTTCAGAAAAAAACGAAGGAATGAAATAGATAAAAAAATTACAGTGGAAGTGTGGAGAAGGTATTTTATGGAAAAGTTAGATGGGAAGGATGAAGAAGAAATCGGGAGAGAAGATACAAGAAAAGAAAAAGAAAGGACAAATACAGAGGATCAGGAAGAGTTGAGCAAGGAAGAATTCGAGAGACAGATTGCAAGGTTAAAAATAAGAAAAGCACCAGGAGAAGATAAGCTAGAAAACGAAGTATGGAAGTACATGCCTAGTAAAGTAAACGCAGCCCTTTGGGAACTGGTTAAGAAAGTATGGGAAGTAGGAGAATTGCCAGAGCAATGGAAACGAGGAGTGATATGCCTGATTCACAAAAAAGGTGATAAAGATAAGTTAGAAAATTATAGAGGAGTTACATTAACGTGCACAGCATACAAAATTTATGCAAGTTTGTTGAATGAGATGTTGAAGAAGGAAATTGAAGGTAAATTAGCAGAAAGTCAGTTTGGATTTAGAGAAAAGAGAGGAGTAATAGAAGCGATATACACACTGAAACACATTGTGAATGAATAATAAGGCAAAGCAAGAGGAAAAATATTTGCCTGTTTTATAGACTTAAAGGAAGCATTTGATAGAGTGGATAGACAGGTTTTAAAAGAAAGATTAATGGAGATGAAGATGAACGAAAAGTTAAGAAATAGGATTGTGGATATCTATAAAGAAACTATGAATGTTTTTTAAGTGTGGGAGGATGCAGAGTTGGTAATGAAAAAATATGGAGTGTGTCTCACGCGGATGATATAGTATTAATAGCAGATAGAGAAGAAGAATTAAAAGGGATGCTAAAAAGATTTAAGAGGTACACCTGTAAAAAGAAAATGATTTTGAGTGAGAAAAAAACAAAAATTTTAGTATTTGAAAAAATAAAGGGAAAAAATAGAAGATGGAAGTGGGGAAGTGAGGAATTAGAAATAGTAGATGAAATAATGTATTTAGGATATATACTACAGAAAAATGGGAGGAATGATAGACATATAGAAGAAAGGACGAGGAAAGCAGTGATCGCCATGAAAAATGCATGGAGCGTAGGTGAAACAATATTTAATAATAGCTACAATAGAAGATGAAAATTATTTACAGCACTAGTGGAAAGTATAGCGTTGTTTGGTGCGGAAGTATGGGATTGGGAAGAAGAAAGGCTGGAAACAGTACAAAAAAGATATACGAAATGGATATTAGGAATAGATAGCAATACGCCAAATCATATAGTGGAGGAAGAGTGTAGATTAGAAAAGATGAGTACAAAGGCACTTAGGAGAGCGTTAAAATTTGAAGAGAAAATTAAGGATTCAGACATAAAATTAGTTAAGGAATGTATAAGAGAAAAAGATAAGGACAAAGAAAGATGGAAAATTGGAAAAGAATAAAAAAAAGAGTGGAAATGCTACGTGAAGAAAATATATAAGAAACAAGATTTATGAAAAGGGTGGAATTGAAAGAAGAAGTCAAAGAAAAAATATCAAAGAACAAGGAAATAAAAGAAAAAGAGAAGAGAACGGAAAAGATAGAGAATTCTCGGTACAACAAGGTATATAAAGATATAAGAACAGAGGGAGAACCAGGATATTTGAAAAAGGATATGCCATTAAAGGATAGGAAACTAGTAGCAAGATTTAGATGCGGAAATGAATGTAGGGGTAGAGAGTATTGGAAAGGAGAGGAGGATAAGAAGTGCAGAATATGCAAAGAAGAAGAAGATTATAGACACATTTAAAAGAATTGTAGAAGTACGAGAAATGAGGAAGAAATAGAGAAAATACTAAGCCATGATGCAAAAGAGATAGAGTCACTAAGACGTGTTATCCAAAAAAGAAAGGAAGCAGAAAATAAATAAAAGACAAGAAGAATGAAGAAAGATTATAGATAAAGAGAAATGGATGAATTTCAGGACATGGAAGAAGAGAAGAAAAAGAGAGTGCAGCGAAGAAAGAAGAATGAAAGAAATGAAAAGGACAATTTAAAAAAAGGAGATTAATATTTTAATTTTTGTCTCGTGTGTGTGTGTGTGCGCAACGAATCAATAATGGCGACCGAACAAAGGGGGAAACGAGAAAAAGAATAACGCACGCCGATGCACGTGAACCTGTTTTTTACAAAGGCGTTCGCGGAATTGTTTGCGCTTCCGTGTCAAGTAAACAAGAAGGACTCATGTATCCCAGTCTATTTATATGTATGACTTTATTGTTACACGCACTACGTTGTCAAGTAAAATCCCCTTGGCAGATACGATAGAATTACGCGTCATTCACTTATTAAATGCGTTTTAATGATTAATTTCAAGACGACGTTCTCATGCTCGTTGTATAAACGTGTTAAATCGAAAGCAAAACGCGACGTGTTTGATGCTTATAGAAAACATAAGGCTTGTAAAGCTAGTACTTACGTGACTAAATGCCCAACCCAAAGATAAAAAAAAATGGCGGCTCTTTGGTCGTGTGGTGAGAGGCTGTACGGCACACACCCCAAACGGAGAACGAAGGATTAGCTT